TAAACATCTTTATGGTATTCTCTGCTTTCTGCAAAGGTCCATGTGATGTCAGCAACAATATCCCATGTTCCACAGACACTTGTGAATTCAGCCTGAACCTCTGGAAGTTCCCTGTCAATGTGATGCTGCAGCTGTTCTTGAATTATCTTAATCAAAAGTTTACTTGCATGCAATTAAAAATCACCCAATGATTTCTGCATTCTGCTAGGTCACTTGTCTTTGGAATTGGTACAAATATAGACCTCTTCCAATCAGTTGGCCTTCTAGCTGTCTTCCAAATTTCTTGGCATAGATAAGTGAGCGCCTCTAATGCTGCCTTAGTTTGTTGAAATATTTCAATTTGCATTCCGTCAGTTCCCAGAGCCTTGTTTTTTGCCAATGCCTTCAGTGTACCTTGGACTTTTTCCTTCAGTATCATTGGATCTTGATCATATGCTACCTCTTGAAATGGTGGTACACCAACCATTTCTTTTTGGTACAGTGACTCATTGTATTCATTTCATATTATTTTTATGTTTTATGCATCATTCAATATTTTCCCCAAATAATAATTCAATATTGAAAGTCAAGACTTGATTTTTTTTTTCTTCAGTTCCCTCAGATTGAGAAATGATGATTATGTTTTTCCCATTTGGTTTTCTAACTCCAGATCTTTGCACATTTCATTATAATATTTGATGTTGTCTTCTCAATCTGCCCCTTGAAATTTTTTATCCAGTTCTTTTATTTCCTCATTTCTTGCATTTGATTTTGTATCTCGATGCTGGGGAGCAAACTTCAGAGTCTCTTCTACTCTACTCTTTTTTTTCTTCTTTCTTTTCTTGTTAATGACTTTTTGTTTTCTTCCTGTATTATGATCTTGATGTCATTCTACAACTTTTCTCCAATTTGGTCATCAAATCCGTTCTTGAGATGTTCTCAATACTTAGGTTAGATATGTTCAAGGTCATATTTTAGTTCTTGTGGACTTGTTTTAATTTTATTCAGCCTCATCCTTGAATTTGTATATGAACAACTGATGATTTGTTCCACAGTACACTACTGACCTTGTTTTTGCTGATGACATGGAGCTTTTCCAGTGTCTCTTTCCACAGATGTAGTCAATTGACCCCACATCTGGTGAGGTCCATGTGTGCAGTTGTCATTTAAGTTGTTAAAAAAGGTATTTGTAAATAATTCATTGATCTTTCAAATTTTTATCTTGTGGTCTCCATCATCATTCTGTCACCAAGGCCATATTTTCCAACTGATCCTTCTTTGTTTCTAACATTGTTATTCCCATCACTAGTAAGTATCAATGTATCTTGATTGCATGTTTGATCAATTTCAGACTGAAGAAGTTGGTTGTTATTAAGTGCCATTAACTTGGTCTAGACTTATAGCCACTCTGTATAGGGTTTCCAAGGAACAGTTGGTGGGTTTGAACTGCTGACTTTGTGGTTCACAGTCCAGTGCTGATCCTGCAGTGCCATACCGGAAGTCCAAAGATATTGGGAGAATTCTTTGATTTCATCATTACTGGTTTTTGTGATTTGTGTGTAAATTTGAATAATAGTTATATTAGCTGGTCTTCCTTGGAGGCATATGCATACTATCCTGTCATTGACAGCTTTGTACTTCAAGAGATCTTGAGATATTCTTTTTGATAATTAATGTGATGCCATTCTGCTTCAAATTTTCATTCCCAACATAGAAAATCATGTAATTGTCAGATTCAAAATGTTCAAAATGTCCAATACTACTCCTTTTCAACTCACTAATACATTTGATATTGGTTTTTATATGCTCCATTTCATTTTTGAAAACTTTCCATTTTCTTAGGTTCATACTTTCTAGAATGTTTACAGCTGTTCCTTCTCATTTTGAGTTGTGCGCCATCAGCAAATGAAGGTCCCGAAAGCTTTAGTCTATTCTCATCATCATGGCTAACTCTACTTTGAGAAGGCAGCTCTCCTCAATCATATTTTGAATGCCATCCAACCTGAGAGACTCATATCCCAGCACTATATCTGACAGTATTCTTGTACTCTTCATCACGTTTCAATATTCAGTATTCTGGTCCTGTCAGTGTTCTACTGCTCTTTTTCAGTGACTAAATATTAGGAAGTAGTCTTTCCGTCCTTCTTCCTAGTCTGTCTTAGTATAGAAGCTCATTTGAAACCTGTCCACCATGTATGACCACGCTGGTATTTGAAATAGTGGTAACGTAGCTTCCAGAATCACAGCAACATGCAGCCAAATGGTGGACACAAAAACTAGAGATTTTAAAATTATAAGTTCGAACAAGTTAATACAGAAATGGCAGCAAGCATATATTGACAGAGAGGTTCAAGCTGGATTCAGTGTAGGTCATGGAATGAGGGATATCACTGTTGATGTCTGATGGATCTTGGCTGAAAGCAGAGTATACCAGAAAGATGTTTACCTGTGCTTTATTGACTAAGCAAATGCTTTCGATTGTGTGGCTCATAACACGCTATAGACAACATTGTGAAGTATGAGTATTCCTGAACACATAATTATGTTCATGACGAATCTGTTTGAACCACAAGGCATTTGTTCAAATAGAACATGGGAACCCTGAATGCTTTAAAATTAAGAAAGGTGTGCGACAAGGTTGTATTCTTTCACCATACTTATTCAACCTGTATGTTGAGCAAATAATCCGACAAGCTGGGTTATATGAAGGAAAACATGGCATCAGGAGTGGAGGAAGACTCATTAACCTGTGATATGCAAATGATACAACCTTGCTTGCTGAAAGTGAGGAGGACTTAAAATATTTACTGATGAAGATCAAAGACCACAACCTTCAGTATGGATTGTATCTCAATGTCAAGAAAACAAAAATCCTCACCGCTGGACCAATAAACAACATTCTTATCAACGGAAAAATGATTGAAGTTGTCAAGGACTTTATTCTTCTTGGATCAACCATCAACACTCATGGAAGTAGCAGTCAAGAAATCAAACCACTTATTGCATTAGGCAAATCTGTTGCACAAGACCTTTTTAAAGTGTTGAAGAGCAGAGATGTCAGCTTGAGGACTAAGGTGCACCTGACCCAAGCCATGGTATTTTCAATAACTCATATGCATGCAAAAGGTGTTCAGTGAACAAGGAAGACTGTAGAAGAATTTATGCTTTTGACTTATGTTGTTGGAGGAGAATATTGAAAGTGCCATGGGCTGCCAAAAGAAACAACAGATTTGTGTTGGAAAAAGTGTACCCAGAATGCTCCTTGGAGGCCAGGATGGCCAAACTTCGTCTCTCACACTTCTGACATATTGTCAGGATGGACCAGTCACTGGAGAAGGATATCATATTTGGTAAGGTGGAGAGTCATAGAAAAAAAGGAAGACACCCCAGTGAGATGGATTGGCAAAATGGCAGCATCAGTGGGCTCAAGCGTGGCAAAAATCGTGAGGTTGGCCCAGGACTGGGGAGCATTTCGTTCTGTTGTTCATAGGGTCACTATGAGTCAATACCAACTTGATGGCACCTCACAACAACAACAATAACAAGTCAGAGCACATTTCTTCCCTATTTAAAACTTTTCAATACAAATGCCTTATCAAGATCTACAAGACTGCCTTTCTGGTCTCATCACGTCCTCCTCCTATTTCCATTATCCTCATGTTCTTTTTGTTCCTTGATAATACTTCATGACCTTTGCACTTATTTTTATTATTACTGGAACCCTTTCTTTAGGACTGTGATTGCCTACTTGTAGTAATTTTTGTTCTAAGTTCTGGTAGCATAGTTTATTATGAGCTGGACTGCTAACTACAAGGTCATTAGTTCAGTTCTACCAGCACGTTTGCAGGAAAATGAGGAAGCTTTCAAAGATGTACTGCCTCAAAACCCTGTACAGTGTTGCTTTGAGTCAGAACTGAGTCCATGGCACACAACCACTACCACCATTCAAATATCAGAGGACCTAATGGCATCGTGGTTAAATATTTGGCTACCAACTAAAAAGGTCAGCAGATGGAACCTACCAGCCAATTGGTGATAGAAAGATTTGCAGTCTGCCTCTAAAGATTATAGCTTTGGAAACACTAGGGAACAGTTCGCAATCCTATGGTCATAACATGAATTTTATCTTTTGTGAGATCAACTTCATGACAAGGGGTTTTTGGTTTTATCCAAATGAAACTTTTTCAATGAATGAATCCACTACAAAGAACCTTAGCTAAAACAAATCTTCCCTTTTCCCAGGTTATTCTCTATCAACATCCAGTTAAATTTTTTTCATCATATTTACCACTCTGATTTGCATTAGTTAGTGTCCTTTTCAACTCTGATTACCAATGTATCTTTAGCATCATCTGACATGCCTAGGACATAATGGCAAACAATAAGTATTCGTAGCGTGAAAGAAAGACTGTTTTCTGTGCTGGACTATTTTCAACTCTATGACTCTGATATTATGTTACAAATCCTACCTTATACATCTAACTTTCTTCATTATTCCTAAGACTTCAGCACAAACAGACTTGTTCTATTTCCTCTTATTCATCTCTTCTTTGATTATCATCTTTAAATTATCATCTAAAATTTTAGCCATTTTAACTGTTGTTATAATGTGGCTACTTGTAAGTACAAGCTAACATAATTTTAATGATCTTTAACAATTTCTTTTTTCTAACGCCTACAATGAACTTAAGATACTTTATTGTTGTTGTTGTTAAGTGCCATCGAGTTTGTTCCCACTCATAGCAATCCTGTAATAGGGTTTATGAGGAGCCGCTGATGGGTTTGAACCATAGCCTTGTTCTCAGTCCAGTGCTGATTCTACGGAGCCGTACCAGGAGTCCAATGGTTTTAATTGTTTTTCTAACATTAACACTTTGATTCTTCTGTAGTCTCAACCTCAAATGCCTCTGTCATGGAAAGTAGAATTAGAGGGAATGTACATATTAAACCATCATTATGATTTTACACAGGTGATGACAGAAATATAATATGTTTTGTTTTTCTTTCAGATCTCCAACTAAAGACATGGATTCAGAAGAGAAGGAAATTGTGGTTTGGGTTTGCCAAGAAGAAAAGATTGTCTGTGGGTTAACTAAACATACCACCTCTGCTGATGTCATCCAGGCTTTGCTTGAGGAACATGAGACTACATTCGGAGAGAAACGATTTCTTCTGGGGAAGCCCAGTGACTATTGCATCATAGAAAAGTGGCGAGGCTCAGAACGGGTTCTTCCTCCATTAACTAGAATCCTGAAGCTTTGGAAAGCGTGGGGAGATGAGCAGCCCAATATGCAATTTGTTTTAGTTAAAGCAGATGCTTTTCTTCCAGTTCCCCTGTGGCGGACAGCTGAAGCTAAATTAGTGCAAAACACAGAAAAACAATGGGAATTCAGCCCAGCAAATTACATGAAGACATTACCACCAGATAAACAAAAAAGAATTGTCAGAAAAACTTTCAGGAAACTGGCTAAAATCAAACAAGACATAGTTTCCCAAGATAGAGATAACATGGAGACATTAATTCATCTGATTATTTCCCAGGATCATACAATTCATCAGCAAGTTAAGAGAATGAAAGAACTGGATCTAGAAATTGAAAGATGTGAAGCTAAGTTCCACCTTGATCGGGTAGAAAATGATGGAGAAAATTATGTCCAGGATGCATATTTACTGCCCAGTTTCAGTGACATTGAACAGAAACTTGACTTGCAGTATGATGAAAGTGAGATGCTGGAGGACCTGAGCAAAAGCGATGGAATTGTACAACTGGAAGAACGACTGAAATATTACAGAATGCTCATTGATAAGCTCTCTACTGAAATAGATAAAGAGGTGAAAAGTGTTTGCATTGAGGTAAGTGAAGATGCAGGAGGAGCGGCAGCAGATGAACTGGAATCCTCAAATTTAGAAAGCATAAAGTGTGATTTGGAAAAAAGCATGAAAGCTGGTTTGAAAATCCACTCTCATTTGAGTGGCATCCAGAAAGAGATTAAATACAGTGACTCATTGCTCCAGATTAAAGCAAAAGAATATGAGCTCCTGGCCAAGGAATTCAATTCACTTCACATCAGTACCAAAGATGGATGCCAGCTAAAGGATAGCAGAGGAAAGGAACCTGACGCTCCTAACAGCAGTGAGGATACGCCTCCATTTACTCAAAGAGTATTTAATGCTTATACAAATGACACAGACTCAGACACTGGGATCAGCTCTAACCACAGTCAGGATTCTGAAACAACTGTAGGAGATGTAGTGCTGTTGTCAACATAATTTTGGTGACTTTTTTTCTGATATACCTTAATGTTTTTAAATGTCTGTTTAATAGAAACTTTATTTTAAATATTACCTTTTGAAAAGTACTAAGCTCCTAAAAGCCAATAAAATATGTAAATTTATATTTTGTGTAACATTTCCATATGATGTTATTACAAGCTCAAATGAGAAACTATTTATTAGAAATGCAGCACAGCTTGTAGGCATATAAAAGAGAAATCATTCGACAGGAATGATAATTTCTCATACCCTCTATGGGAAATTATTTATACAAACTAAAAACTAATTCTTAATATTGTAGTCAACATATTGAAACTATACAATTGAAAAAGTAAAAATAAAATGTACTGTAATCTTTTCCATCACTATCATTGAAAAATTTTAATTTGTAAAGTGCATAACAACTACTGTGTTGTGAATGAATTAATCCAAATCTTTTTCCTTTAATTGATACTTAGAATGTGCAACATATGAATCTCACTTATGGAATCTCTCTACTTACTTAGGTCTATAGGAGAAGAAAAGGGAAGGGCTGTTGTTAGGACATGCACAAATCCCAGCAGTTAATCAAACTTGGGCACCGATGAGAAAGGACCAAGAACTGCATAACAACAGTAATTCTCAAGGAACCTAGGGACTGTATTAAAAGATAAGCCTGGGCTTTCTCTTTCTAACCATGCAGATCTTATAATCAAACCAATTGATGCTGCAGGTTCATTTTTTTTAACCAGGCATAGTGTGGATTTCAGAGGAATTCATAGATTCATAATTTTGTTTATTTATGTTTTATCTACAAAAGCTGAAGTGTTGCTATTTGGAGTCCTTTCTATGGTAAAATAAATAGATTTCTGCATGCCATTCAGTATCGAAATTTAGTTTCTAAGTGCATAGAGGGGAATTCATATTGAAACAAAACTTTCATTATCCTATTGTTTGCTTAGGATTGTCTTTTTAGTGCTTCATCTATGTTGCAAATAGAAACATACTAGTGCTATTCTAATATGTTGGTAAAAGAGTCTTCAACCAATTGAATGCATCATTGTGTTCACCTTGACTTGCAGGCATTATAGTGCCAGAGTGTGCTTGGTTTTTAATTAGGGCCTTGCTTCCTCCCTCCATTTCTTCTTTCTCTCCTTCTTCCCTTTTTGCTTTCTCTCTCCCCTTTTGTCCCTCCATCTTCCCTTCTCCATTTTATCTTTCTTCCATCTTGTCAATGAACACATAATATAACCATATTGAAAAGAAGTTAATTTTATTTTAGTGTTAACTGAATACTGTTGCAGTTTATTTTTTTTCTCTTAGCTGAAACTGTTCTTCTATTTCAATGCCTATGTGAGATATTATATTACTTACCTGTAATATAAGGGTACTGGTTAGGATTCCCAGTATTTCTCATTTCTTCCATTTTATTCCTCTGCAAACTCGCATATACGCTTTTCTCTGTTTTCTTAACCTTTTCTTTCATCTACCTCCTCCCACCTCAATCTTTTCACCCATATTTGGGAAGCTATTTCAAGGGTGTTTTTTTGTTGTTGTTTATTTTTTAATGGCATTTCACGATTTGAGAACTATTAAATTTCTGTTTCTTGTAATAAGCTATTGCTGCAAACTAGTCAAAAATATTGGAAGTTGGCTGGTACCGAAATAAATTGGGACTTGTCATCTCAAGAAAAATACCATGGAAATAAATAAAAGTGAAGGGTAGAAGTGAAAGTCAAGTTAACCTAAATAATAAGTCTATTAGCCTATTCCACAATATGGCAAGCTACAGATTGACAACATTCAATGTTTACTCCAAGGGATAAAAATCAGAAAAGATCATCAAAGATAAACCTATTGTTATGTGCTCTTTGGAGAGTGAAAGAAATCTCTTTGGACCACTTTTGTCCTCATTGGGAAACTAATGATTAAAAACATCTATCTGTTAATATGTTGCTGTTGGTAAATGCCCATGAATGGATTCCAACACTGCTTGGTCTTTTGAAATCCTCAGAATCATTGCATATTTGGGCCTATTATTTCAGTCACTGTGTCAATCCGTCTCATGGAGGGTTTTTCTCTTTTTAACTGACCCTGTACTTTACCAAGCATATTGTCCTTCTCCATAGATGGGTTCTTCCAGATAATACATGCAGAATATGTCAGAAGAAGTCTCACCATCCTTGCAACCAGGAACATTCTGACAGCACTTTTTCCAGGACAGATTTGTTCATTCATCCGGCAGTCCATGGTACCTTCAATATTCTTCAATAAATACAATTCAAGTGCAATGATTATTCTTCAGTCTTCCATGTTAATTATGCAATGGAATGTAATGTTTGATTTATTGACTGCTTCTTCCATGGGTATTGTGAATCTGAGTTAAATGAAATCCTTGACAGCTTCAATATCTTCTCTATAGTTAATAATGTTATTTATTGGTCTCCAGTTGTTTGGGATTTTGTTTTCTTTATGTTGAGATATAACCCACACTGAACACTTTTGGATTTTCTAAGTTTTTAGAACTTCTAAGTGTTCTTCACTTTTGGTTTTCTAACTCCAGGTTTTTATACATTTCACTATAATTTGAGTAATTATCTAAATTCCTAAGAGGTTACAATGAGAAATAAAAGATGGAGAGAATTTCCTTTTAGAAACTTTGAATCACTTTCTGCTTTTATACAGTTAAGCACAGTGATGGATTCTAATGTTTAATTTTTCTATATTTTACTATAATTAATATTTAAAAATTTTATCCAGAAAGTAAGACTATTGACTTTTATTTTAGAATTGACTTATTTTAGAATTCATTTGCCATTTAACTATACACATGTGCTTGGGTTTTTGACTACTATAATATTAAATTATGCATTAGGTACCATGGCGAATCTCTAATTTAGAGTAATATATACACACAAATAGGGATGCTAAAACACAATGTTGTCATCCTCAGATACTGAGTTATTCTTTATTGAATTGAGAATTTGAGTAATAAATATAGGACTTGATAGAAACCTAAATTATTTGACTTATTTATGTTGCTGTTAAGTGCTTTCAAGTCGGTTCCAACTCATAGAGACTCATAGTATAGGGTTTCCAAGGAGCGTTTGGTGACTTTGAACTGCTGCGTTTGTGCTTCAGACCAATCTTGTGGTCAAGTGCTTATCCTTCAGTGCAACACCAGGACTCCTGATTTATTTATAAATATTTTAAAATGAAGTGTTCATAATTTCTTGAGTAACGTAGAAGGTAAACTACGAACTGCTACATGCAGATCAATATAGCAAACCAAAGTTTGACTATTCGTCATTCCTTTAACAAGACCTGATTGTCAGATTGTTTTGCTCAACATTCCATTTGGAATGCATTTTTCCCCTGTAATTCTTCCATACAGTAAAATCTTACCCATTTTCCAGTCTGTTTCATGTGTTCTTTTCTATGAAATGTTTATTGTTGCATTCAACTTGCTTTAACCTCCTTGTACCCACAAGCACTTTAGATACACTTCTTACAGAAGAATATTTACATCAATACTTGGTGGTGTTTTTGTGCTGTGGAGTTGATTCTGACTCATAGCGACCTTGTACAGGGTTTCCGAGGCTGTAAATCTTTACTGGAGCAGAATGCCTCATCTTTCTCCCACGGAACAGCTGGTCGTTTCCAACTGCTGATATTGCGGCTCGCAGCCCTATTCATAACCATTACGCTACTAGAACATCAATGTTTAGCTTACACATATTTATGTACCTACCTTATTTCTTACACTATCCCATCAATAAAAGGAGTCTTCGTTATATTACTTATGATCTGCTTTATTTACTTTACTCATTCCTGTCACCTCTTTGTCCCTAATTAGTTGTGGGAATCAGTTGCTACATTTAGATGATTGTAAACTTAAAAAAAAAAAAAAATTCTATATGTCGTAAAATAAGTATGTAAATATACACTTTAGTAGACTTGAAATATCAACATTAATCTACTTGTGATTTCTATGTGGGGAGGCATTACATCTTTGTATTGTTATTTTTAAATTAATATGCCATACATTTTGGTAGTTTTTAAGGAAATTGTATTAAATTTATTTGGTTTTTGGTTCATGGGAGTACTTATTTAACACAACACAAAATAGTATTTTTGTTGTTTTTTGTTTTTAATCCCGTCAATGACTAAATGATGTTATTTTCACTCTGTGTTGTGCGCGCATAAGAAAAAATATGGCGGTGTACTTTAATGAGCTGGACTGCTAAGTGGTTTTGAACTGCGAGGTCGGCGGTTCAAACTCACCAGGCAGTCCTCGGAAACCCTATACCGGGTCGCTATGTGTCGGAACCGACTCGACGGCACTTAACAGCAATAGAAATAATAGGTTTTAAATTGCAAGGACGCAAATGACTTTAAAATATCCTAAATTACAAAACTCAATTTTACTTGTCTTTTTATTAAAATTTTAAAAAGAGGGGGTAACTCTTCATTAATGTATGCACTCTATTATAATCCATTAAAACTTTTTATACTTATTGAAACGTCTATCATGCATGACAAAATATATTTCTGTGGCTGTGTTTTGTAAGTTTTATAGTAGCATATTCATTTTATTTAAAATGTATTTTTGTAGTGATGAACAATTTTTAATGCAGATGTAGACTTTAAAGAAAAAGAATTAAGTTTTTCCTTTTCATACTGCCTGATTTGCTTAATTAACTGAATTTGACTATGTAAAACATGTATCATATCTTCAAGTTATAACTGATCCAGAATAATAAAAGGACTAATTATACACTTTCTTGTGACATTGCTTATCTGCACAGAAGTGTTACTTGGTTTTATTAGAAATAAGTTTTATATCAATTGGAATTATATATTTTGTCAAGATAATGCACACTATTTATTTTAGAAATAGGTGTTAGTTCATGCCAACATAAATAAATAAGAAATAAGAGCTCGTAATACTTATTTATTAGGGTTCAGACATCTTCAATTTGTCATCAAAAAGTGACCTAAATTCTACATTGGTTGGCTGGTTTTATGGCCTGGTATCTTGCTTTCTAGAGTGAGATACATTATAACATAAAAATATCTCAGTTAATCATTTCT